TAAATCAACATCTGACGCTTCATATCTGTTTTTGTTTATTAGACTTGTGAATAATGCTATACTATTTGAAAGTTATTACGGCCATAAGAAATTTACTGAATATTTAAAACATTGAAACAATTTAACTCCGAGCAACGACGACACAAGAGGTTTTTATCGATGGAATTCTTTTATTAAGAACAATCTAACACTTGCGAAGGACATACTGTAAAAAAGATGAGGAGAGTACCAACAGATGATGCAATCAAGCGGATATATATATATATATATATATATATATATATATATATATATATATGTGTGTGTGTGTGTGTGTGTGTGTGTTGAAATAAAAAGAAAGAACAGTAAGATATATAATCCGGTGTTCTTATAGATATTTTTATTTTTACAAAATAGTGCTCAATGTAAATTTACAGAGTATTAATATTATAAATTAATTGATTTAAAATATGTTTTTTCTGCAACACAGTTCTAAGCATGTTTCAAAAATGGAAGCTAAAAGCCACGAATATAATTTTGCAATTAAATTAAAGACATTAGTTCCAAGTAATTCAGCAAGTCTAGAACATACATCAACAGAAGGTAGAAAGCACTGGGCGGCGTTTTCGTCCTATATTTGGTACTCATCAGCAGTGCGCATCCACTACCGAGAATTAAAACCCGGAGAGTTACGATATCAGGCAAACGTCATACCAACTTCAATCTTCTTCTTGGGCCTCGGTGACGAAGGGGGAACGAATTAGACTCGATTCGGCGCCGCTCGATTAGATATTCCGTGGTGGAACCCATCCGAGTTTCACTTACCCGTAGGACTGCGCCCACACGAACCAGGACTATTATCCCCAAGCCGCACCATCCAGAGAATTAGAAGCCGGTTTAAGCAAGGATATACAAGTGATAGAAATTATTAAGGAGGATTTGAGATAATCATAATTGAGTAATTCATCGAATCGCGAAGTCTTTCTGCATTATGTTGAGGTTTCTTCTAGACTCGATGGATTATTTAATTATGATAATCTCAAATCTTCCGAATAATTTCAATAATATATATATATATATATATATATATATATATATATATATATATATATATATATATGTATATATATATATATATATATATATATGTATATATATATATATATATATATATATATATATATGTATATGTATATATATGTATGTATGTATATGTATATGTGTGTATAGATATATATGTATATATATATATATATATATATATATATATATATATATATATATGTATATATATATGTATGTATATATATATATGTATATATATATATATATATATATGTATGCATGTTCATATATATATATATATGTATGTATATATATGTATATATATAAGTATATATATATAAATATGTATGTATATATGTATGTATATATATGTATATATATATGTGTATATATATATATATATATGTATGTATATATATATATATATATATGAATATATATATATATATATATATATATATATATATATATATATATATATGTATATATATATATATATGTGTATATATATATATATATATGTATATGAATATCGCATTTCTTGTTCCGGTCTCCTTGGCAAAACCACTCCGTTCTTGTCCTTTTTCTGTTCTAATTCTGCTTCGTTATCTATTCATCAGGATTCACTTCAGTATTTTTGTTATGTGGTTAATTAAACGGATTGCCTAATGGATCTCGCATTCATTTGCATCTGTCTTTTTAGTTAGTGCTACGAAGAGGTATTTAGTTAGGTATTCTGGTATGGGTTCACTATTGGATATCTTTTATAACTTCTAGGATCTTCTACATCACTACTGCTAAGTGTATATTTTGTTCCCATTCATCTTCTCCAGTGCTTATCTTACTTCTGATTTCAATATTTCTGGTCCTTCTGTATTCTAAAATTTTGTGGGTTACTCTTTTCCACGGTAAAAATTTCTATTATTTTCAATCCACCATTGGAGTCTTTCTTCTTCTGTTATCAGTGATCATTTCCTTGATTATATAACGCATCTTGTTTGCTTAACCTTTCGTATGGTTGATTCTTTTATTCTGTTGTCCATACTTGAATACTAAGATTAGTCGTTTGTAATTATGGATCACCCTTTCAGCCACTATTTCTAGAGTAATAATCGGTTTGTAAAGCTTGCAAATCATTTGTCTACGACTTGGCGTCCTACTTTTCTTCCTGAGCGCTGATTAGTTTTGGCATAAGGCCATAACCTGTGACGATCACACTAACTACGACATAGTAATAGCCTATTACGAAATTGCTGAACGCCAAGAATTTTACGACTCGGAGGAAATTGCCTTTAATATTCTGCGGTTTACAGATTATTGACGAAATTTTGGCTCAATTTCAGTAGAAACTTCAAGGAATTTTCCAAAAATCTATTTCTCACATGATTATTTTAAAATAATGAACTATGGAAAAAATAAATATTTTTTGTTCTTTTTTTTTACCCAATTTTTAACGACGCTTTAGATTTCGTGAACCTCTTGTAGAAGCGTAGGATCTAATTCGACAAGTTTTCTGAAAGAAAAATATTTTTTGGCAATGTAGTTTCAAATAATGAGCACGGTGTAACATAATGATTTCAAACTTTTGGAAAAATATCACAGTCTTTCAAATTTCTTCACTCACCTGAGACTAAATAAGACGACATTTTTTTTTAAATATAAGAATGGTGTAATCGAGAAATAACATTATATCATTACTGAGCAAAATCTGGATTTTCTCCTGCTTGTTCTCTGAAGAATGATTCTTGCCTTGACTGTCTGTTGGGACTCACGTTCATCGCATAACCTGTTATCGAATCCATATATCTGATCCATCGCTAAAGATGACTTAAAATGACCGATTCAGAAAAATATCTAACCCCATCCAGCTACACTCTTTGCAAGAATTAGATCACACCAAAAATGAAGTTTTGCGATCATATCTGGGCTGGTGCTGCCCAGTCCTCATATTTCGATCTTGACAGTGCCTTATGAGTGATCAACTATTTTCCGGCCTACAACCTCTTTTCCACAGACCAAAAAGCGTAAGCCTCTCCCTATTCTATCACTATTTCCATAGCAAAAGTTCTGACGATCTAGACTACTTAGTTCTACCTGTACAGCTAAGAGAAAACGCCATTCCCTCTGTATAATATTAGTAAGAAGGAAGTTCTATTCAGATAGAGCGTATTCCTAAAAACCGTTACTTTCTGGAACAGACTTCGGAAAGTATGCTTTCCCGATCTGCAAGCTTAGGTTTAGCCGTTATATTTCCTACATATCTTCAATCCCTGCACATCTTGCGTCCTCGTCTTACGCCCAAACATCAACCATATTCAATTACCCTCCAGCTTGAATAATTGTTGTGCTTATATTTCTTGTTCTAACACGTTAGAACGCATCAAATATATCGACAGATATAATATACTTACATTTCCGATTAGAGCACACTTCAAACAATCTCTTGACAATGAAAGTTTAAAATCACTTAATTCATGTCAATTTTGTAAGGTGCATTTAAAAACATTAATTTGAACTTTGCTAACCAGACGCTTCTCTATAGCTAAGTGGTATAGCACGTCAGATCAAATGACGGTTCCGTATAGGATAAAGGTTGGATTCCTGTTGTAAAACGCATATTTTCTACGAAATTTCTCGAACAATCAGGCCGGTAAATGTAATTGATCTTGTTTAATTAAAAAAAAAACAACATTTACTTAAATAAAATGTATTTATTAAAGTAACGTATAAACAGAAATATATATATATATATATATATATATATATATATATAGATAGATAGATAGATAGATTCGATGAATTACTTAATTATAATTATCAAATCCTCCTAATAATTTCTATCACTTGTATATCATTGTATGAAACGGCTTCTAATGCTCATGTTTGAGCGGCTTGCTGATAGTAGTCGTGGCTCCTGGGGGTACAGTCAAATGGTTATAGAGATACTCAGTTGAGTTCCACCACGGAATTTGTGAGCGAGCGGCGCTATATTGAGTCTGATTTGCAACCTCTTCGTCACCGAGGCCCATTGGAACAGTTGGTATGACGTTTGCATGATATAGCTGTCAGAGTTTCAATTCTCAGTAGTAGATGCGCACTGTCGTTGAGTCCCAAATATAGGACAAAAACGGCCATCCAGTGCTTTCAGCATTCTGTTGAGGTTTCTTTCAGACTCGATAAATTACTTAATGATAATTACCAAATCCTCCTAATAATTTCTATCACTTATATATATATATATATATATATATATATATATATATATATATATATATAGCCGGTAACAATATAATTTTAAAAAAATCCAGACGACACTCTTTTAACGGATGTTAGATTTCATTGAAAAATACATCCCTGCCCACTACCAAAACGTAGCAATAACTGATACATTAAAATATAGACATATTGAACACCCAGACACCCCTTGTCTAGCAAAATAGATTTATCTGTAACCTTGGAAACATGAATTTTGTTTTAGCTGTGTATTTAAAACCCAGTAATTTTCAAAGTTACTCCAAAATTCGCTTGAGGATGAAATGGAACTAATGTCTTTAATTTAATTACAAAATTAAATTCGGGGCTTTTAGCTTCTATTTTTGAAACAAGGTTAGAACTGTGTAGCGATAAAAAACATATTTTAAATCAATTAATTTATAATATTAATGCTCTGTAAATTTACATTGAGCATTATTTTGTAAAAATAAAAATATCTATAAGAACACTGGATTATATATCTTACTGTTCTTTCTTTATATATATATATATATATATATATATATATATATATATATATAAAATTGACACTGAAGTCAACACCGTCGTTTAGTGTTTGTCTCATTTATATTTACATGAAGTCTATCTTTGTTATTGAGAATTATTATTCCTAAATGTATCATACTTGAACATTATATTATTATTATATTAACTATATTTTTATCATATATGTTTTTTCTGCAATGCGGTTGGTTGAAGAACAACGAAAAGAGTTTTATTATTTTATTTCCGGTTACTTATTAAAGTTTCCAATGTTTTTGATGGGTTGTCTTGAAATCCGACTTAAGGCTTTCCATATTTTTTTTTAAATTCTGGGAAATTTCGAAATTTTTTATTATGAAATAAGAAATTAGGGGAATATATTAATGTCATTCGTTTTTAATAGGGACTTTTCTTATTTAACATCAACAAAATATAAATATGGCTTTTTCTTTTTTCTTGCCGTCTCTAATTAGCTGTTATTTGTTGTTCTTGTTGTTTCTCTTTCTCTCATTACAGAGAACATTTCTTTTATTTCGATGCCAGCTTAACCCAGTACAAATTCAACAGCTTACAAATTACAAACTCAGTTACTATGATCGTCTCTTTCTATCTATATATGTATTCTACTCTTTACATCTATCTATCTATCTATCTATATATATATATATATATATATATATATATATATATATATATATATATATATATATATATATAAAAGGAAATGGATCATGTCCGACAATTATTTAATATATTTTCTGTTCATACGTTATTTTTAATAGATACAATTTATTTAATAAATGCTCGGTTTTTAAAATAAACAGTATTAATTACATTTACTGGCCTGAGCCATTTCATAATATAAGTTTCATGAACAGATATGATCGTTCGGGAAAGATCGTTGAAGATTAGTTGTTTATAAACAGTAATGTCAGATGCTTTTCTGTAGCTAAATGGTATAGAACGTTAGATTAATTGACGGTTCTGGGGAGGACACAGATTCGATTGCTGTAGGAGAACGTATATTTTTCTACGAAATTTCTCAAACATTCAGGCCTGTAAATGAAATTAATCCTGTTTATTTAAGAAAAAACAGACATTTACGTAAATAAATTGTATTCATTAAAAAAATAACGATAGACAATTTTCTATTTATTTATCTATATATACATACATACATATATATATATATATATATATATATATATATATATATATACATATATATATATATATATATATATATATATATATATATATATATATATATATATATATATATATATATATATATATATATATATATATATATATATATATATATATATATATATATATATATATATACATATATATATATATATATATATATATATATATATATATATATATATATATATATATATATATACATATATATATATATATACATATATATATATATATATATATATATACATATATATATTATATATATATTATATATATATATATATATATATTATATATATATATATATGTATATATATATATATATATATATATATATATATACATATATATATATATATATATATATTATATATATATATATATAGTATATGTATCTGGATATATATTTTTCCTTAAGCAATCATCATCTTTTATTCTTGAGTTATTTATCTATCTAATCATATCTTCTTGATCTATCTATCTATCTATCTATCTATCTATCTAATACGCGTTTTATTTTATTCATTTTTCGATCTGTCAATTTTTTTAAACTCACCCATTGTTCTTTCTATGTATCGAACCTTGTATTTTCCTATATATATATATTAGCTTCATACTATCTTTCTCCGATTCTTACTCATTCTTTTCCTTCGAGATTCTAATTATCTCGCTAGTTTTTTTTTTTTATTCATTTGTCACATCATTTTTAGTTTTCCACATCAGTTAATATTTTGTTTGAACTCCTGAAACATTTTTACCCTGATTTTCTTCGTCGTTTTTTTTTTTTTTAGGAGGGAGGGAATTTTTTTTTTTTTTCCTGATCATTTTTTACACTTCGACTTTCTTTGAAAAATCATCCAATCAAGTTGGCAATTCTATTCCATCCATACATATTCCTCTCCCTTGTTAGATGAAATTCACATTGTCAATATATATATATATATATATATATATATATATATATATATATATATATATATATATGTGTGTGTGTGTGTGTATATATATATATATATTATTTAGTTCTCTGCTTTCGTCCGCCATTTTCTTGGTTGTAATTTTTTGTTACTTTTTTTGAAAAGTCATCTCATCAAATTGGCACTTCTAATTCATCCATACAGAGTTCCTCCCTTGTTAGAAAACATACGCATTGTGAATCCTTATCAATTTATATTTTTGTATACATTATTTAGAATCGTTTTTCCTTTATACCATACTTCATTTCTTTCCTATTCTGTCTCTCTCTCTCCCTTTTTTTTTATATATATATATATATATATATATATATATATATATATATATATGCGTTTGTGCGTATACACATACACACACACGCACACACACAAACACACACACATATATATATATATATATATATATATATATATATATATATATATATATAACTGTTCATTTCATGTTACTACTACCGAGAATAGCTCATTTAGGACCCATTTAAACACATACGAAATCCTGTCAAAATACATCCGCAACATACTTGTAGAAAATACAAGTAAAATAACATCATGTAAAAAAAAAAGATTTAAAATAATGGAAGCTCTAATAATAAAAAATAAATGACAACACTCAATAACATTAACTATGAACACGGACACAAACTGTTTGGAATATAAAATATTCCTATAACGTCTCTTTGTCACTTCTCGTAACGAGTGCATGAATGTCCTCAAAGAAGCAAAGTTACTCTTTGCCGAAAGAATGGCTCAACATATTGCGTCTCGCAAGTTTGCTTCAAAAGATTATTGGTGGCTCTTCAAAAGCGTGCTGAACAACAGCAAACCTTCATTACCCCATTTATTCAAATAATTTAACGTCCTGACCTCTTCAGCTGATAAGGCTGAGTGTTTTGCTTGTACGTTCTCATCCAATTCAGCGCTAGACTCATCTGGTGTACACACACCGGAGTTTCCTCTTAGATCTGAGGCTGTACTGAGTGAGATGCACATGACCCTAACGATAGTTCTGGGCATCATCTCTAAATTAGACTCCCAAAAGGCTAGTGGTGGAGACGGGATACCAGCCATTGTCCTGAAGAAATGTGCTCCTGAACTGGATCCTGTCCTCTCTAAACTTTTCAAATACAACCTCACCGACACTTTCTTTCGAGCCTGTTGGAAGTCGTCATCTGTTGTGCCGGTCTTTTAAAAATCCTGGTGACTTTTCGGACCTGTCTAAGTCTTCGAGGCCGAAGTGATTAAACAATTTACTTCACATAATCTTCTCTCCGACAAGCAATATTGTTTCCACTTTGCCCTATCTACCGCTGACGTGCTCTCGGCTATGACTGAATTTGTATATCAAGCACACAACAATTATGGAGAAGCTCTAGTCGTAGCACTAGACATCTCTAAAGCATTTGATAGGGCTTGGCATGCTAGCCTTCTTTGTAAGTTTCAGGGATAAGCTATTACGGGACAATTATTTGACTTAATACAATCATTCCTGTCGAATAGGTCGTCCTAAACGTGTTCTCCTCCGGCTCCTTTATCACGAACGCTGGTGTCCCCCAAGGCTCTATCTTGGGCCCTACACTGTTCCTGATCTTCATCAATGACCTTCCCAATGTCATCAATTCCCAAGTTGGCATCTACGCGGACGACACTGTTATTTACTATTGCGTCAGTAGTAAATCTGGTATCGTTGACAAAACTAACCTGGTGGTTGATCTCGAAAAGGACCTCCAATCTGTGGTTGACTGGGGCAGGAAATGGCTTGTAAACTTTAATCTCTCCAAAACGAAACTGCTCTCCTTTACCCACCATAGAGATCCTTTCCTGCCTCTCATCAGGATAACTGATTTCCAACTCCTTGAGAGTGCATCGTTACGTCTGCTTAGTCTCTTGCTGTCCGCTGACATGAGGTGGAATAAATATATTGAATAAGTAGCTTCATCTACCGCAAGGAATGTTGGCTTTCTGTGTCGTGTCATAAATTTTTCTTGGCTGAGTCCATCCTTCCAATCTATAAGTCAAACATCCTTCTTTGCATGGAATATTGCTGTCATATATGGTACGTCTCGAGGTTATTGACAAAATCCAGAGACAAATATGCAAGATCTGGTATCTAGTCTACAATCGCTATCCCAAAGACGTGCTGTAGCCTCCCTCTGTCTCTTCTACAAATATTTTCAAGGCAACTGTTCCAACGAGCTACTTTCGCTGGTTCCTGGACTACATGAATTTAAATGGCTACCAGTCTGGCACCTCGGTCTCACCCTTTCACTGTCAAAACGGTTAAATGTAACCGTCTCTTCTACTCAAACAGCTTCTTTTCCCTACACTTCCCATCTGTGGAACTCCCCTTCCACTTACTTGCTTCTCCGATGACTATAATCTTCAAATATTCAAGTTTAATGTTAGTCAACATCTGAGCTTGTTCCCCGTCCTTCTCTGTATCCTTTCCTCAAACACGAGTCTTTACTCTTGTTCTAAATCCTCTGTAATCCCATCAGTGATAGTGGCACTCCTGTCTTGCTTGGGGTGAATTGCCTTAGCAAAATTTTTTAAAAAAGTATAAAAAGCATACAGTTAAAAATAAGAAAAATAGTCCTTGATAATGGTTAAATATAGCCGAAAGCGCTCGGATTATGCAGAACTTTTGGATCGTTATTACACACTTTGTATCCACAAATGGAAAAGACTTGTACGAACAAAAGAAAAATTGAATAAAAAGCTTAATCGCAGTACCTTATATGACAGGAATTGCTGCGCATATATATATATATATATATATATATATATATATATATATATATATATATATATATATATATATATATATATATGTGTGTGTGTGTGTGCAAATGTAAATGGATATAGATCCGACAGAATGAAGAAAAATTTGGAAAAAAACAAACAAAAAATCCTTAAATGCAATTATGTTGTTTAAAATGAATGAAATGTCGACGTCTGACGTTTCGGTTTAATAAACCTTTTTCAAGACAATATTCATTAAAATACAATTCAGTTCAATTTGACAAAGACGATGGACATAAACAACAAGTCTTATCCAAAACAGATAACTGAAAATTTTTAAATGATCAGCTTTCCGTTTAGCATGGTCTCGTTGTCGTCACATGAGCGACGCTTTCAAAACGTATTCCTAAAAATTTTTGATTATTTTGAATATATATATATATATATATATATATATATATAATATATATATATATCAATCTGGAGAACCATGTCTCTATAGGTTTCTTTCAAGACATCTGTACTTCGTTTCCTTTTTCTATTTCTACTAACTTTCTTTTTCTCTCTTTTTTTCCCTTTCATTATCCTTTTATCTTCTCTCTCAGTTTTATCTTTCTCTGTTATATTTTTCACCCTCTCTTTCCTTCACTTTTTCTCCTCCAGCCCCTCACTCTATCGAACATATGTTTGACTTTCACTAAACCACTTCGCATCGTTTTTCCTTTCATAATATTTTTTATAAAATAAACGTATTTTATTTTCTACTTTTTCTCCCGCTCTTATTATTTGATGTTTGTTTCCATGTTCCCCCCTCCCTCGTTACATATTATGCTGTATTCTTCTCTTTCTTTCTTAGTTTCTTTGTTTCTTTCTTTTCTCTCCATCTCTCTTTCAAAATTTACTTTCTTTCTATCTTTTCCCCTTGACGGCTAACTTACTTATTTTTCTCTTCAGAGATCTCTACCTTTTTATTTTCCCCTTCCTCTCTCTCGATAACCTTTCTTTCTCTCTTTTCCTCTCGCTCGTTAACTTACTTTTTACTGTATCTTTTCTTCTCTTTGAAAACATTTTCTTTCTTATCCCTCACTCTCACATTTCTTCTCACTTTCTCTCTTTCTTTCAATATACATTCTTTCTCTTTTTCACTGTTATTTATTCTCACTATTATATATTTAATCTATCTATATTTTTCTTTTCTCCCCTTCTCCTTAGCACTTTTTATCTTTTCTTTTTTTCTTCCACTCTCTTTTCTTGCTGTATTTTCTTTTCACCCTCCTTCACTTTTATTCTTTTCGTTCACATTAAAATTATCTTTCATCTTCCTTCCTTATTTTTACTCTAA